CCTGTTCAGTACATCCACACTTACTACTGTGCAATCTACATCTACAGGACCGTAAACTCCAATATCAACCTTGACCTAAAACGCTTCCTTGATAGTTGTGACAGAACCCACAGGCATAACACCAGACACAAACATCTCTACGACATTCCCCGTGTCCGACTAAACCTTTACAAAAATTCGATGTATGTCTAAGGCCCTAAAATCTGGAACACCCTACCTGAGAACTCTAGAACTGCAGACACATTCATCACCTTCAAAACTACCATTAGAAAACATCTTATCTCCCTGATACACCCTGTCAACTAACTACACGAATACAACCTGGTGGTTCACACTTACACTCACTCACCCATTTGACCATAAACAGAAATATTAATCTCAATCTTAAAATAATGAATCCTGTGATACTCCAATACTGAAACTATGTACTGTGCCAAAACAAAAGCATTCACATTGCTAAGCTCACAAACTAGTATTTAGTCACTTAGCCATAATACCAACTTACCTCATCATTTGTAATATTTTAAAATTAAGATTTAAACTAAATCTGCCCAAAATGCCTAGCCATGCTAGGTGTTCTAGTTGTACACTCTGTAATCATTATTTTACTACATGTGAACCACACAATAACCAAATTCTGTAAACTCAGCATTGTAATCCTTGTAGAGAATAAACTTTGAATTTGAATTGAATTTGAATTTGAACACCAACACTGCTCCTTGTGACCATCACCACCCTTAACACCAACACTTCTCCTCATGACCGTCAACACCCTTAACACCAACACTGCTCCTTGTGACCGTCACCACCCTTAACACCAACACTTCTCCTCATGACCATCAACACCCTTAACACCAACACTGTTCCTTGTGACCATCAACACCCTTAACACCACCACTGCTCCTTGTGACCGTAACCACCCTTAACACCAACACTGCTCCTCATGACTGTCACCACCCTTAACACCAACACTTCTCCTCGTGACCGTCAACACCCTTAACACCAACACTGCTCCTTGTGACTGTCACCACCCTTAACACCGACACTGCTCCTTGTGACCGTCACCACCCTTAACAGCAACACTACTCCTTGTGATCGTCACCACCCTTAACACCAACACTACTCCTTGTGACCGTCACCACCCTTAACACCAACACTGTACCTTGTGACCATCACCCTTAACACCAACACTGCTCCTTGTGACCATCACCAACCTTATCACCAACACTGCTCCTTGTGGCCATCACCACCCTTAACACTAACACTGCTCCTTCAAATTCAATTAAAATTAAAATTCAAATTCAAAGTTTATTCTCTATAAGGATTACAATGCTGAGTTTACAGAATTTGGTTATTGTGTGGTTATTGTGTGGCCCAGTGGCCTGGTGGCTAAAGCTCCCGCTTCACACACCGAGGGCCCGGGTTCGATTCACGGCTGGTGGAAACATTTTGACACGTTTCCTTACACCTGTTGTCCTGTTCACCTAGCAGCAAATAGGTACCTGGGTGTTAGTCGACTGGTGTGGGTCGCATCCTGGGGTACAAGATTAAGGACCCCAATGGAAATAAGTTAGACAGTCCTCGATGACACACTGACTTTCTTGGGCTATCCTAGGTGGCTAACCCTCCGGGGTTAAAAATCCAAACAAAATCTCTTTCTCTCTCTTACATATAGTAAAATACTAATTACAGAGGGGGCCACTAGAGCACCTAGCATGGCTAGGCATTTCGGGCAGACTTAGATTAATTCTTAACTTTAAAATATTACAAATTATGAGGTAAGTTGGTATTAAGGCTAAGTGACTAAATACTAGTTTGTGAGTTTAGCAATGTGAATGCTTTTGTTTTGGCACAATACATAGTTTCAGTATTGGAGTATCACAGGCCAACTTATGACTAGTTAGGATTCATTATTTTAAGATTGAGACTGATATTTCTGTTTATTGTCAAATGGGCGAGTGAGTGTAAGTGTGAACCACCAGGTGGTATTCGTATAATTAGTTGACATGGTGTATCAGGGAAATAAGATGTTTTCTAATGGTAGTTTTAAAGGTGATGAATGTGTCTGCAGTTCTAGAGTTTTCAGGTAGGGTGTTCCAGATTTTAGGGCCTTTGACATACATCGAATTTTTGTAAAGGTATAGTCGGACACGGGGAATGTCATAGAGATGTTTGTGTCTGGTGTTATGCCTGTGGATTCTGTCACAACTATCAAAAAAACATTTCAGGTCAAGGTTAATATTGGAAATTAAGGTCCTGTAGATGTAGATTGCACAGTAGTAAGTGTGGATGTACTGAACAGGGAGTAAGTTTAGATCTATGAAGAGTGAGGGGGGGGTGTTGCCAGGGATGGGATTTAGTGATTATTCTTACTGCAGCTTTTTGTTGGGTTATTATTGGCTTTAGGTGTGTTGCTGCAGTTGATCCCCAAGCACAAATAGCATAGGTGAGGTATGGATGAATAAATGAATGGTATAGTGTGAGAAGGGCATCTTGCGGCACGTAGTATCGTGTCTTGGAGAGGATCCCAACTGTTTTGGATACTTTTTTGGTTATGTGTTGGATATGGGTGCTGAAATTGAGGTTGTTGTCGAGGTATAGGCCTAGGAATTTGTCCTCATTATGTCTGGTAATTAGAGTGTTGTCGATCTTAATGTTAATTTGCACAACTCCTGCTCTGCTACCAAACATAATATAGTAGGTTTTGTCAGTGTTAAGTGTAAGTTTATTGGCTGTCATCCAAGTCGACATTTTGATCAGCTCCTCGTTAACAATGGTGTTGAGAGTGGCAAGATTAGGGTGAGAGATGACATAAGTCGTGTCATCAGCAAAGAGAATGGGTTTCAGGTGTTGGGATACTTTTGGAAGATCATTGATGTAAATGAGGAAGAGCAGGGGACTAAGGACATTTCCCTGCGGAACTCCAGTATCAAGTGGCCGTGTTGATGATGCTGTGTCTTTAATGGTGACATACTGATACCTATTAGTAAGGTAAGATTTGAAATATGCAAGTGCATAGCCTCATATTCCATAATGGTCAAGTTTGTGGAGCAGGATGCCATGGTCTACTGTGTCAAAAGCTTTTCTTAGGTCAATAAAAATTCCTAGAGGATATTCCTTATTTTCCAATGCTGTGTAAAACAGATCTAGCATTTTTACAATTGCATCATTAGTGCTTTTATTTTTCCTGAATCCAAATTGGCAGGGGTTGAGTATGTTTTGTGCCATTATGAATGAATATAGTCTCCTGTGCACGAGTTTCTCAAAGATTTTGGATAGCAATGGTAAGTTTGATATTGGCCTATAGTTGTTTAAGTCTCTAGGGTCACCACATTTATGTATTGGTGTAACCGTCAGCACCCTTAACACTAACACTGCTCCTTGTGACCGTCACCACCCTTAACACCAACACTGCTCCTTGTGACCGTCACCACCCTTAACACCAACACTGTTCCTCGTGACCGTCACCACCCTTAACACCAACACTGCTCCTCGTGACTGCCACTACCCTTAACACCAACACTGTTTCTCGTGACCGTCACCACCCTTAACACCAACACTGCTCCTTGTGACTATCACCACCCTTAACTCCAACACTGCTCCTTGTGACCGTCACCACCCTTAACACCAACACTGTTCCTCATGACCGTCAGCACCCTTAACACCAACACTGCTCCTTGTGACCGTCACCACCCTTAACACCAACACTACTCCTTGTGACCATCACCACCCTTAACACCAACACTGCTCCTCATGAACATCACCACCCTTAACACCAACACTGCTCCTTGTGACCATCACCACCCTTAACACCAACACTGTTCCTCATGACCATCAGCACCCTTAACACCAACACTGTTCCTCATGACCGTCAGCACCCTTAACACCAACACTACTCCTTGTGACCGTCACCACCCTTAACACCAACACTGCTCCTCGTGACCATCACCACCCTTAACACCAACACTGCTCCTTGTGACCGTCACCACCCTTAACACCAACACTGCTCCTCGTGACCATCACCACCCTTAACACCAACACTGCTCCTTGTGACCATCACCACCCTTAACACCAACACTACTCCTTGTGACCGTCACCACCCTTAACACCAACAGTGCTCCTCCTGACCATCACCACCCTTAACACCAACACTGCTCCTTGTGACTATCACCACCCTTAACTCCAACACTGCTCCTTGTGACCATCACCACCCTTAACACCAACACTGTTCCTCATGACCGTCAGCACCCTTAACACCAACACTGTTCCTTGTGACTATCACCACCCTTAACACCAACACTGTTCCTCATGACCGTCACCACCCTTAACACCAACACTGTTCCTCATGACCGTGAGCACCCTTAACACCAACACTGCTCCTTGTGACTATCACCACCCTTAACACCAACACTGTTCCTCATGACCATCACCACCCTTAACACCAACACTGTTCCTCATGACCGTCAGCACCCTTAACACCAACACTGCTCCTTGTGACCATCACCACCCTTAACACCAACACTGCTCCTTGTGACCGTCACCACCCTTAACACCAACACTACTCCTTGTGACCGTCACCACCCTTAACACCAACACTGCTCCTTGTGACCGTCACCACCCTTATCACCAACACTGCTCCTTGTGACCGTCACCACCCTTAACACCAACACTGCTCCTTGTGACCGTCACCACCCTTAACACCAACACTGCTCCTTGTGACCGTCACCACCCTTAACACCAACACTGCTCCTTGTGACCGTCACCACCCCTTACACTAACACTGCTCCTTGTGACCGTCACCACCCTTAACACCAACACTGCTCCTTGTGACTGTCACCACCCTTAACACCAACACTGCTCCTTGTGACCGTCACCACCCTTAACACCAACACTGCTCCTCATGACCGTCACCACCCTTAACACCAACACTGCTCCTTGTGACCGTCACCACCCTTAACACCAACACTGCTCCTCATGACCGTCACCACCCTTAACACCAACACTGCTCCTTGTGACCGTCACCACCCTTAACACCAACACTGCTCCTTGTGACCGTCACCACCCTTAACACCACCAACAACAACAACTTACTGACGCTCTCCCCGTCGCTCATGTTCTTTTTCACCTATTTAACGGTAAATACTTGTTCCTTACCTCACTAATTCCAAATTTAAGCTTCTCTCTGGTACCTGTGTCTCGTCTAAGCTTACCTAAGCTCATTTTTTTTTCCTTATGCTCATTTTTTGGCTGATTTCAGCTCATTTTTCATGGCTGTTATGTACCCCCTGAACCTATTTACTTACTTCAGTCACCTTAGTAGAAATTAAGTCACTTTTCAGGGTGTAATATGGACCAGTGTACCAGACCCCATTAAATCAGTGATAAGCACAAACACTTTTCTACCCCCCCCCCCCTTTTTCTTTAAAAACCCCTCCAGGGAGGTTCCCCTTTAAAGGGTGGGGAGGGGTTTTTTGTCTTGGGGGTGGGATCTGTGCTTCGGGCCCGAATTGACGTTGAATACCTTCCATCCCCCCCCCCGCAAAGGCTGTTTAATGCAAAGGGGTTTTGTGGGTCCCCAAGAATTTTAATTCATCCGTTAATTTAAAAATTGGAAAAAAACCATTTGGAAAACAACAAGGTCGCTTTTGTTTTCTATGAAAGAGGCTTCAATAATTTAAATTCACAAACAGAGTTTTGGTACGATTCATGGCCAAACCCAAATTTTTTCCCGGGGTAATTTATAATTTTGTTTTTGTAAAAAAGTATGCTTAAGAAAAATTTCTTACAATTTTAAAAACATTTTCCCATAAAAAAAAAAACTTTTCAATAAAAACTAGGGTTTCTTTGTGGCTAAAAACGGTAACTAAAATCCAAATTTTTATGAAACCTCCCAAAATGAAAAACAATATAGGGGGGCCCGGGGTTTAAAAAACAAAAAAAATTATTAAAAATTTTACATCACCCCCATCAAACTAATAAGAAAGGGTAAGAAATGTTCTACTCCATGGGATAAAAAAAAGGGCCCGGAAGATACTCTCTCAATTTGGGGAAACCCCCAAACATAAAAAACTAGGGGTATTGCCTAAAAATGCAAAACAACCCACAAACCTTTTGATAAAAGTTAAAAAAAATAAATGCTTTTTTTTTTCGACCATAGGGTCAAAATTTTTCCAACAAATCCAAAGGGACCAATGCTGACAAGTGATTACTTAGATGGAATTTCCCCAACCCCCTCCCAAAACTTGCACCAAACCCAAACCCAAAAGGCACCGGGTTTTTTAATTAAAATTAAAATAATTGGGAAATCTGGGGTCAATTCCTCCTTGTAAACCCCAAAAGACAGCTTTTAATTTTTTCGCATGCAAATTTTATTTCCCCTTTTAAAAAAATTAAAATAAAACCAGTACTTTCCCAACGCTACTGAAGACCGCAAGGGTTACAACAATGCACAAAAGTGGTGACCCCACAGATGTAAACAACTACAGGCCAATATCAAAGTTATTGTTGCTATCCAAAATCTTCGAGATACTTGTGCACAAGAGATTATATAACTTTATAACAGTGCCAAGCATCATCAGCCCCTGCCAATTTGGCTTCTGGAAAAGTAAAAGCACAAATGATGCAATCGTAAAAATGCTAGACCTGCTTTACACATCACTGTAGAAATATGAATGTCCATTAAGACTTTATTGGCCTTAGGAAAACTTTCGATACAGTAGACCACAGCATCCTATTCCACAAACTTGATTATTATGGTATAAGAGGCCATGCACTTACACATTTCAAATCCTACCTTATTAACAGGCATCAGTACATCTCTATTAACCCTTTCAGGGTTGGCAGGCCCTCTCCTAAACTTATTCTCAGGGTTGGAAATTTTTCAAAAAAAAAAAATTATTTTTTTCATATGAAATGATAGAGAATCTTTTCCTAAACATAATGACACCAAAAGTATTAAATTTGATGGAAAACTTACGGAATTATGCTCTCGCAAAGTTAGCAGTCTCAACGATGTTTACACAGTGATTTCGCCCAATTTGAGCCCTATTTTTGGCCAGTTCCAATGTACAAGTCAATAAAAATCATACTTATTTTGCTAGAACTCCATTTTTTCTATCGAATGAGTACAAAAAACTACCCATTTACCAATTTCAACTATCCAATAAAGTGGTCAGAAATTGGCCATTTTGCCAATTTCACACAAATTTCAAAAGATGCCAATTTTCAAATAGGGTCCAGAATAAACAAGACAGACATTCCTGGCACTAAAATAACATTTCCTGTTCATTAGTCACGTCCCCAGGGTTCTGTTATATTTCTTTTGCTTTCCACTTTGAATTTTTATTCTCACAAAAAATAGAAGATTTACTGTTATGAGGACTACTGCATTAGTCTAGAAATGGTGTAGAAATGGTATAAATAATATCAGCACACTTGTGAAAGAATATTAGACTCACCAGTTGACATGTATTGGACGCATGGCATGATTTGTTTACTTTTGAACTTTGACAAAAATCGAACATTTCTGCTACTTTGAGCTCAATTTCAAGGTACTTTTCATTGTGAAACCAATCAAAATCATCTCAATTTTCATAATACATGTATGTCTTCCATTCTATGAAATGAGACCAGGAAAACTAGAATACAACCATAAATAGCATACAAAAATACAGTGCAAAGTCGCTGTTTTAAACCAAAAACACTGTCAGAGTTTTTTTTTCTCATTATGCACTGTGTGCTACAGGAATTTTTTATACTGCGCACACGGACCACATAGACCCATTCTTTCATATGTAGGCCTACCAACTTTCTCTCGCTAGATTTGAAGGCGCTAGAATTTATGCTTACTAGTACGGCACCAACCCTGGCGTGCAAGCCACACTAGTACGGCACCAACCCTGAAAGGGTTAAGGACACAACCTCATAAATAAGACCACTGGATACTGAAGTACCACAGGGAAGTGTCCTTGGTCCCCTGCTCTTCCTCTTATACATCAGTGATCTTCCTACTGTATCACAACACCTTAAATCTATTCTCTTTGCTGACGACACGACTTACTTCATCTCCCACCCTAACCTTGCCTCGCTTAACACTATTGTTAACGAAGAACTAGTAAAAATATCGACCTGGATGACTGCAAATAAACTTGCACTTGCACCTAATACTGACAAAGCCTTCTACATTATGTTTAGGAACAGACCAGGTGCTGCCCAGCTGAACATAATGATTGACAATGCTCTTATTGCTAAACATAATGAGGGCAAATTCCTGGGCCTGCACCTTGACAGCAACTTGAAATTCAACACCCATATCCAACACGTAACAAAAAAGTATCCAAAACAGTTGGAATCCTCTCCAAGATACGTTACTATGTACTACAATCAGCCCTACTCACACTATACTATTCACTCGTCTATCCCTACCTCACCTATGCTATTTGTGCCTGGGGATCAACAGCAGCAACTCGCCTAAAGCCAATAATAACCCAATAAAAAACCGCAGTAAGAATTATCACGCAATTCAGTGCTAGGCAACACCTCCCTCCCCTCACCCCCCTCCCTTCACCCCCCTCCCCACACCCAACCCCCTCCCACTCTTCAAAGACCTAAGATAAGCTTGTATATTCAACTCCAACTTTTACATTATCCTGTGTACCATCTTACTATCATAATATAACCAAGTTATTGCCATTTTTATTTTTTATTATTCTTTTTCTACCTTAATTTGTGTATTTTATCTTGTCAGTTTAAATCTAGTTATACTCTAGTTCTTGTTAACAACTTACATTAAACCTTAGTGCAATTACAAGTGAGAGTCTTGTGCCATTTTAATTAGTATTTTTTAAATTATTAGATTAAACCTAGTTGTACTTTAGCTCATTCTAGCTCAATACATAGACAACACCAAATTCATTATATTAGACCTTAGTGCAATTACAAGTGAGAGTCTGGTGCTATTTTTTAATTTGTATTTTTATACTATCACAAAGCTAACAGAGGGAAAATTCTTAGGAATCCACCTTATAATAGACTCAAATTTCATACACATATACAACAAATTTCTAAGAAAATTTCCAAGACTGTAGGCATACTATCGAAGATATGGTACTATGTTCCACAGTCAGCCCTCCTGGCCCTATATCACTCTCTTATTTACCCCTATCTCACCTATGGAATTTGTGCATGGGGCTCAACAACAATTAACCATCTCAGACCACTAATTACCCAACAAAAGGCTGCAGTCAGAATGATGATAAATTTCCCACTACAGGCAGCACACTCCACCAATATTCAAAACTAAACCTACTCACCATACAAAACTTCATACTTATTATTGCCCCTATTACATACTAGAACACTTAACTCTGATATTAACCCTCCCTCAAATATCTCCTTGCCAACCTAAAACAGAACAAAATGACCAAAACACAAGCCGTCACTCTTTGATGTTCCTCGTGCCCAATCCACGCTATGCAAAAACTCAATGCACATTAAAAGGCCCAAAAATCTGGAATTCATTACCTGTAAATATAAAAAAACTCCCTATTTATAAATTCAAGTCTCTTCTCAAAGATCACTACTCACCCAAAACCAAATAAATACTGAATACTGAACCTTATAAATTGTATATCTTAAATGTTTCTCACAATTATTCACAAAAATTGTTAAAACCTAAGACCCAATCTAACTTTGTTATTTTTTAAATACACTACCTAACAGAATACTCCATTTGACTGAATGTACAGCAATGCATGCAACCATATGACCTGTCTTTGTAATACTCATTTGTGCTTTGTAGTTATCTGTTTACAATAATGTTTTATCACTGATTACATCATTGCTTAGTTAATCTTAAGTTAATTTTAAGCCAGCCCGTAATGCTATGTATACAAGTGGCTTTGGCATGCTGCTCTTACCTGTATTTTTTTGTACCTCTGTATGTATGCTCAAATTACTAAAAAAAAAATAAATAAAATAAATACCTAGTTGTACTTTAGCTCATTCTAACACAACACATAGACAACATCAACTTCATTATGTTTATTAGTGGCTATACTCTATATGACTGAAGTGCTTTAGCTATATACTTGTCCAAACTTCCCACTACTACAGATATCAGTACTAGAACTCAACA